CACGAATCAACCTTTGAAGGCCCTCAGAAGCAAGAAAGTTGGCCTATAAAATAAGAAGAGTTAAAATTTAGAATACATTCTTTCAAAAGTAGAAGAAATAACAGAGGAAGGAGGGAACGTACCACCGCAGCGTTATGCATAGCATTGTTCAACAAACACTCTACCGAGAGTGTTTTAATCTTTTCCCAGTCTTTTCCTAAAGCCAAAGGCTTCAGGTAATTAGCAAGCTCCACCGGCCGTGATAGTTGGTTGCACCCGGTAGAAACCAAAAGAATAATGTTCCTCCTCCTTTATGGATTTTCAGAAGGAGCAACATAATTTTGCCCCAAACTCTCTTTGTTTGTTTATCCTTCGGCCGGGGACTCTATAAAGAAGTATTCACACCCAAAACAGGCCCGGAGATACCTGTTCGAGTAAGTGCTTCCTGAAGCAGCCTCGCTGTATCAGCAAGATCAACCAGAACGTCCTCCTCGGGGACATCAACAGAGCCCGCAGGTAGACCTAATTTCATGAACAAAGTCATAAGAGTTCAACCAAGTTCTTCATATACAAATATGGAAACAAGGTAAATTAAAGTTACCATGATTTTTGACCTTACACCCGTATTTAAGGGCCAGTTCTTTCCACGAACGAGTTTTGGGCGTTGTGACGTCCAAGATCTTCTGTACCCACTGGTTCAAACCTTTCACCATCAGTGGGATCTATCGAGTTGCTGAAACATGCGAAGGGTAAAGAGATGATACGTCCATGGAAGAATATCTAGTAAGAGGAATACTATACAAAGAACTTACGAGTGCGGTTCCAAGCAACCGGAAAGGATGAAGTCGTTATCAGAATGATGTCGTTGGTGGCAACTGCAACGAACCATTCTATCCACCCACGGTCGTTATCATCATCCATGCTAGATAACAAAGCATGGTGGCCACGCTTGAAAAGGTTTATCATTCCCCCATAGAAGATTTTGGGGGAATAGAGATTCATTATATGAGCTAAGGTTAGCTCCTCTATAGTTTCTTGGCACAAACGTCGAAGGCAGGCAATCGTCCACCACACTGAAGCACTTACCTGTGCCAAACACACCTGCTAGCGAAGGCAAAACTCCGCAATCACGGAATTAAGCTCTCCACTCAAAGAAAACGAACCCAAAGTAAAGGAATATGTGAAAAAGTATGTAAAACCTTCCTTGGGAAGGGTCACTCGCTCCGATAGATCAGGAGCAATAATTTCCAACTCATTGCAGCGGCAGTCCTCCTTCACAGCAGGAATACTGGAAGGACGAATGGAAGAAGGGTACCTACTAACAACCCATGTACGAGGGCTAGTAGTAGGAAATTTCTCTTCAAAATCCTTCGAAGTACTAAGCCTTCTTGGGATGATAGAATCCACTGTTAGAGGAACGGAATCCTCGGTTTTGTTCTTATTCTTTGTAGAACCAACACGTTTAGAGGAAGAAGCCATTGGAAAAGAAGAAGGTAAAGAGTTTACGTTTGAAGAAAATTAGAAAACAGATAGAAAACAAGGATACAAATCAGAAGCTCAAACAATTGTGAAACGCAAAGGAAACGAAAGTTGCGTATAAGTAAAATTTTGGCGGCTAAATTCATGGCTATGATTACCTCGATAAATTGGCAAAAGTTGTGCTGAATCAGGAGATGAGGCGTGTTCGGGGTATTAAATGCGGAGAGACATGTGTCTAACCAACTGTTAGATACCTTCGGAGGAAATTATAGTAACTCCCGCCAAAAAGGTATTTCTACCAACTTTCCGGTAACACAAAAGTTATGTCATCGGAAAGTAGGGGGTTATCTGTATAGGGTAAAATATAATATGACACGTGGCTGACTAAAAGGAGGACACATGGAATCCAAGATGGGATGGCTGAGGATCGAACGCAACCACTCTGCTTGTCACCGAAAAGGATAACGTTCATAAAGGAGTATTAAATGCCTACGCCCGGTAGTATTTACTAAGGAATATTCTGTAACATTAAGAGCGACGGACGTTACAGAGAATTTGGCATTTATGTTCACCGTTACATCTTCATCAATGACCCTCATAATTGGTATTAAAGGAAGGCATGATCCTAGGACCTCTTTCTTTAGGCATAGCTATAAATACTGAGCTCCATTAATATTGTAAATGACACAAATTTTCTGGCAAGAATATATACTATATTCTATACAAAGCTTTATACAATTTTACTTTCTTGATTTTTGATCTCATCATTGTTATGTTCGGAAACCGTGTTCACGGAATCACCATCTTTGCTCTTTCATATATATTCTAAGGCTAAGTACTGAGTATTTTTTCGATTATTATATTATTTCAAAATCAACTTGTCTAAAAATCACGTATAAATTCAAATGTACCATTTTACGGGTAAACATAAAGATATTAACCAAGTTGGGACTGGGACTCAAGAATAAAATCTATAGAAGATTAAAAATTCAAAAAGATAAATCTAAATCATACGAAAGGGAACATATTTAATACATTGTAGTTTGCTACTCATAATCGCTACAATACCTTGTGTCTTGCCGGTGAATATGCTGAAAATAATTTAGCTTCAATAGGAGTAACATAATAGGTTTGGGAATTAGGATTTTGAGTTTAATTACTTGTTGGCTTGTAACTGTTTTCATAATTCTAAGACCCAAGGAAAAATTTAATGCTTTATTATTTTCAAACTTAATATATAAATATATTTTTCACATGTAAATTTATTCGGTACGGTTCAATATTTTTTCGGTTTATTTTCATAAAATAAAAAAACCTACCCTAATTATCGGTACGATTATAGATTTATATAAAAACATACGGTTTTGTTAAAAGAAACCTAAAAATCGGTTCGGTACGATCCGATTCGATCGATTTAATCGGTTTTTAAATATCTATTGACACCCCTGCCCCTAACCTATGTCCTCAAGGGGAGAAAAAAAAAAAATCGAGCTTCTTTTCTAACTTTAACTGCAAATATTTCTCCCTTCTATGTAACTTAAGTTTTTAGATGTGTTATTCTCTAAATTGTCAGCTTCTCTCTTTTTAATTTTCCCCTATGATGATGGATTTTCTTCCTTTTTAATCTAGGTTATTAGATTCACCTATATAAGTAATTAGATTTTATTACTGTCGTCAAAAAAGTAAATGAATAATAGTCAAACACATTACTTAATAGCTTTGAATAATGAAAACATTACGAACAACAAAATAATTTTTTAAAAATAAAAAAATTTTCTCATATCAGTAATTTTGTTTATGACAACCAGACTCAAAAAATATATCTACAGTTCTTAAATAAAAGAAAGCGACAACTTAAGCACTTAGGGGTTCTTTGGTTGGAAAATAAGATTATTTGAATCCCACCATTATACCACACGCCTCTTAATGCAAATACTACTAGAATAGAAGTATTAAGAATAGCAGTAGCTAGTAGATTTTATAAAAAAAATTCATAAAAGAATATTTCCTATTTATTTTGAACAAAGTTGAAATGAGATGTGCCGTCATTTGAATTATATCTAAATAATACTTCCGTTCCAGTTTACGTTAACCTATTTTTTTTTGGTCCGTTCTAAAAAGAATGACCCCTTTCTAAATTTGAAAATAATTTTGCTTAAACTTACAATTATACCCTCAATGAGAAGCTTTTATAACCAAACAAATACTCTGGGTCTTTTTTTAAATTGTTTAGAACCACAGTTCACATAAATTGGAACGAAGGGAGCATAATGTAAAAACAACTAAAACTTCATGAAACAAAAAAATATATTTACATACTAGGAGAATTGACTATGTAAAAAAATAAAATAGACATTATTTAGGACAATAGGAGAACGTTTTCATTCTTTCCAAGCTCTTGAAGATATCGGAGAAAAGAAGCTCCGCGAGATTCCAAAAGGACGAATAGCCTGTTTGGTAAGCGGGAGAAATCAACTTATTTTGATAAGTATTTTTTTTTAAAATGGTTTTGAAAAAAGTACTTTCGTAAAGAAGCAGTTTGTGTTTGGCTAATCACTCTGAAAAGTACTTTTGAGCATTAATTTGTATTTGGCCAAGCTTTTCAAAAAGTGTTTTTAAGTATCAAATTACGAATAAAGACATGAATAGATTTGCTTAATAGTTAATATTATAAGTAAATAAATAATCTTAAAAATTTATTATTACAGACAATAATTAAATCTTTTCACTTAATTCTTTTAATAGTATAAGTTAAATATATTAAAAATCATTCAACAAATATAAAAACATTTACCCCTAAAATCACTATATATTAGAAAGTTATCCTAAAAATAATAAAAAATATTTATACATTAATATCCTAAGTATTAGGTTTAACGGTTATTTTGGTATATACTATATTTTATTAAGGGTATTTTTGGTAAGAAGAAAAGTCAAAACTGCTTCTGCTTTTGGAAAGAACCTACTTTTTTCTGTTTCTACTTTTTTTTCCCCAAAAAAGCTTGGCCAAATACCTAAATTAGGAAAAAAAGTATTTTTGAGAAGAAAAAAAAAAAACTTTTGGCATATTGAGAAGCTTGGCCAAACAGGCTATAACTCTTCCAAGTCTCACTTTGTCTTGACACCTCACTTCTCAAAATTCAAATAAACAAATATAATACTATGATTTAAGTTATACTATGTACTTACATTCTATAGATTTTTTATATTATTGTGTGATAATATGTTAGCTACTCCTATTATTTTTATCATAATAATTTTTTATATTTATCACGATATTAACTCTAATTACCTAAATGAAAAAATTGCATAAATTAATTTTATACTATCAATACATACAATTTAAACTAATATGAAGAGGAAAAGAAAAACAAAAATGTCACATTTTCAATCACCTAAAATAGACCTCTAGTCTTCTCCCCAATTATTCATTTTCCCATCTTCTAAATTCTGCAAGACTCCAAAAGGGATAAACTCTTCCAAAGTTTCAAAACTCACCCCCCTTTTTCTACCCAACCCCTACTCCAACTCATAAAAAATGTAGTTAAAAATTCTACAAAAGGAAATAACAAAAAATAGTAACAAAATTATCACACTACCACATAAAAATAAGACCTCTTCTTCCCCCATTCTTCACTTTCCCCTCTTTGTCAAACCCACGGCAAGACTCCAAAAACCAAAGCTCTTTCAAATCCTCACCACCCTTTCACCTCCCCTCTCCACCACCCACCACCGCCACCGCAAAAATGGGGAAAGGCGCCGCCTTGTCAAACGGATTAGTGAAAAAGATCATTCTTTCCTATACCTATGTAGCAATCTGGATCTTCCTTTCCTTCACTGTCATTGTCTACAACAAATACATTCTTGACCGCAAGCTCTACGGCTGGCCTTTTCCCATTTCTCTAACAATGATCCACATGACCTTTTGCTCTTCTTTAGCTTTCCTTCTCGTTCGTGTCTTCAAAGTTGTTGAACCTGTTTCCTTATCTCGTAATGTTTATCTCACTTGCATACTTCCTATTGGTGCACTTTACTCTGTTTCCCTTTGGCTTTCAAACTCTGCTTATATTTACCTCTCTGTTTCCTTTATTCAAATGTTGAAAGCCCTTATGCCTGTTGCTGTTTATACCATCGGGATCTTGTTCAAAAAGGACACTTTCAAGAATTCTACTATGGGTAACATGATGGCTATTTCTGTTGGTGTTGCTATTGCTGCTTATGGTGAAGCAAAGTATGATTCTTGGGGTGTTTTACTTCAGTTGCTTGCTGTTTTGTTTGAGGCTACTAGGCTTGTTATGATCCAGATCTTGTTGACTTCAAAGGGTATTAGTTTAAACCCCATTACTTCTTTGTACTATGTTGCTCCTAGCTGCTTGGTTTTCTTGTCAATCCCTTGGATCTTTGTGGAGCTTCCTGTTTTGAGAGAGAGCTCGAGTTTCCAGTTTGATTTTGCTATTTTTGGGACTAATTCACTGTGTGCGTTCGCTTTGAACTTGGCTGTGTTTCTTTTGGTTGGAAAGACATCAGCTTTGACTATGAATGTTGCTGGGGTTGTTAAAGATTGGCTGCTTATTGCATTTTCTTGGTCGGTGATTAAGGATACTGTGACTCCAGTGAATTTGATTGGGTATGGATTGGCATTCTTAGGAGTTGCGTACTATAATCATCAGAAGTTACAGGCATTGAAGGCAAAAGAAGCACAGAAGAAAGCTCAGCAAGCAGATGAGGAAGCAGGGAGATTGTTGACTGAGAGAGAATCTAATGGATCAGCTG